TCTTCATTACGTTTTTATTCTACAGCGTAATAGATGTTTGTTTTGTGTAAATTATTTTTATAATACATCAATATGGGTTTTCATACTTTTGTCATCTGTTTATTCACTTTTTTGAAATTTTGGTATTTCAGTCGAATAATTTCAAACTCATGATAATGGTTATTGACAGAAAAAATCTTAAAAGATTTTAATTCTTGTTTTTGCATAAACATTTACATTCATTTAATGGTATCCGTTTCGTCGGATTGCCTAAACATAATGTAAGCATGCAATTTGATATAAAAAATTATAAGGAGAAGCGTATTTCAGTTCAATACATTCTCAATTTATTACCGTAGAATTGCAAAACGTTCTGCAAAATAGATTACTTTTTATCTCTGTTCGCTTCTTATCAATAAAATGTTCAAAAAGAATTTGCGTTTCTGCATTCAATGTTGCAATTTATGATACTGTGCTGTACTGTATATATTGAACAAGTTTACTGACTTATAATTGAATCATCGTAAATAAAGCGCACTATTATGTGAATAGATTATAAAGATTAATTCTATTTGACAGAGGATGAATGGAAGTTTATAAATGGCATATATTCAAGAGATTTCACATAACGTCAGTAAATACCTTTAACAGTTGTTCCTTTAACAGGGAGTTACTCCTTGTTGACGCAGATTTTTATGATTTGACGTTACTATCTCACCACATGTTTTAACTACTGGACTATTGACGATATAAAGAGCTTTTAATGACCAACCTAACAGTGAACGCGTTAAGTTGAATGCATTCATCACTAGATTTGAGGCTCATTAGAAGTTATTTTGTTAACAAGTGTTTGATCATATAATCTATGAAACTGTTGTAAAAAATAGTGAATTCCATTCACAATGGAAATTTAAACGTACATATTAAATAAATTTTATGATATAATTATGTATCTCCAAAATAAACTGCGCATTCAAAATTGAATCATTAATTAATATTAATAATCAGTCTTCAAAAATATAACAGAACATACCAGTGGAATTTTTAATATTTCATAATAGTATAGCTAGTAATACATTTCATTTCAGTTCAGACTGTCAAATTCTTTCATTTTATCAAAAGATATTGTTTGCTATATGAAAAAAACGGTATTTTACAAAGCAAATCATCACAATGAGGAAGTGAGCACATAGAATTTGTTTGAATCATGTTAAAATACTGACATGATGAACTGATATCTTTAAACGTGTGTACTTATGTACTACATTAGAAAATGAGGAAAAATAATCAAAAAATTAGGAAAAATAATCAGAAAATTAGGAAAAAAATCAGGAAATTAGAAAAATAATCAGAAAATTAGGAAAAATAATCAGGAAATTAGGAAAAATAATCAGAAAATTAGGAAACTAATCAGAAAATTGGGAAAATAATCAGAAAATTAGGAAAAAATAAACAGGAAATTAGGAAAAATAATCAGGAAAAGGGAAGATTACTCGGATGCAATAAAAACAACTATATTATAATTATGAAAATTACAATGATTTTTTTATTTTTTTTAAATTTATTTATTTATTTATTTGTTTGGTTTACGATTGGAATGACTTGATCAATTCTGCATTTTAAAACTATACACATGTTTAATTAAAGGGCAAAAGAACAAGGGAACACTATAACTATTTTTCTGATTTATTTTCTCACACGTCGGGTAAATAAAACATCACGAATGCATTCAAAGCTTGTAGAAAAAAAGAGCAAGGAATTTAATATATATGATCATATACATAGAAATTAAATCTAAAACAATGCTAGTAGTTTAAAGAAAAACTGAAAGAACATTATAACTTTTTATAAAAATACTATTATTGTTAAGAAAATTGTTGAAAACATGTATAAAATTTCCTCTCAACTTTCAAACAAACTAACAATAGTGTAAGATATACATGTAATGCAATTAAAGCAAGTTCTAATTGTATCTAACTAAAGTAGCATATTTTTTCGAATCCTCTTTACACATCATTCGTACTACAAATACTTTAATATCAGCTAGGTAGAAATGTAACTGTTTCACATACACACGTCAATAAAATAATATATATCAACACAATCTTCATATAACCCGGAAATACGAACGGCGCATGCGCCGAAAGCGACATATCATCAGAGTTCTGTGCTAAACGTCATGACAATTTATGTAGTGTGTTAATCTAATTAAATAGTTCTTGTAACAGTAGTAAGGTAACAAGATCGTTTGGAGACATGCTTCTCAGGAGAGCAACTCTAGCAGCATTTCTTCTCATACTCCACAAAGCTTGATTTCCCGTGGACCTCACTGCAACTGTCACAAAAATACAATATATTCAATAAAATGATATCTTTATACACGTGTATAAAATGTATGTCCCAAACAATGAAAGAAATCTTAATGTATATCAATTTTTAAAGTGTATATTTTAAGATTATAGCGTGTCTTATTAAATATTGAAATGTTAAAAGTAGAGGGGGGGGGGTATGTTGTTATAAGAGGAGGCGTGGACAGGCTGTCAACCAATAGCTTTAAGTCGTTTACGTTCATGAAATTATTATAAAAACATCTGACCCTAACCATAATTTAATCTGCTCGTTACGACCCAGTATCATTTTAAATGATTTATAAATATGTTTTAAGGAACTGTTCTATTTTTTAACAAGGATACTGCCAAAGGTGCTATTTCATGAGGTACATTAAGTAATTTTTCCATTTTTCGGCTGTAGAAATAAAGTGGGCTCTTGAAATATATTTTTGTTTGAGAATATTTTTTAAGAACATACATTTAGACATTCTTATATCTTGTGATTCAAACCCAATTATTCCTTTATTATTCCTATATTTATATCAGATGCAAGTTCACGGCTTGAGTTTGTAATTGCAGTTTTGCCACACACAGTAACATGCCAGTTTTACGTTATCAGCAGGCATTTTGTGTGTTTGTTTTAGTCTGCAATATAAGCTTATTTGATGCTTTATAATACTGCACATTTGCAACGTCATTTTTCATGGCATAATCGTGACGTTCATATAGTTTTATATACACGGCTGCTCTCGATTCTCGAAGAAATATTACTCTTTTTCTAAAAATGATGCTTGCTGTATTATAAGTTCGTTATAAAGATTGTTGACAGGTTATATGGCCGTATATAAACGGCTGTGCTCGCCTAACGGCTCGGGTTATATTTACAAATAGCCGTTTATATAGGGCCATATAACCTGTCAACGATCTTTATAACTAATAATATATCAGATTGAAATATTCTGTTTTAATGATCTGCAAAAGCTCGTATACATGAAAGTTGCAAGCGTAAAATGTTAATGAAGTAGAGAAGTAGATGCCTAGGTTATATCCTTGATTTACACATAATGCAAAAATTAAACGATTTAGGATTTTCAATGTCTTCAAATCTTCTAGGATTTATCAGCAAATGTGGCTTTTGAAGGTATGGAATTATTAGACTGCTCGAAACGAACATAATTAGTCTATGCCACAAGCATAGAGCCAGGCCAGCCTGCAATTCTGTAAAGTCTGACCAGGGTTTTACTGTTCAAATTTTCTTCTTGAAATCCTAATAATGCAAAGTAAAGTTAAATTATTTTTATATAGAGCAATACGATTGGTTATGATCAGGCTATATTCATGATAAAAGTTCTCTTTTCCATGGGGAAAATGTCAATTAGAAGTTGCAATATAACTCTTTTTTTGTGTTAAAAAGTCAATAAATATAGGCTTAAAGTGGATTACTAAAGACTTTAAGTCCAAAAATGTTCCATATTTTAGTTATGCGTGTGCTTGGCGTAATCGATATTAAAAGGACCTTCTCAAAGTTCAAAGTGCAGACTCAATGACAAAAGTAAGACTAGATATAATTGATAACTGTACTATCATCACTACTTTCCGTAATGTTTTCCTTGAAATCAAGGTAAAACGTTCTTTCAACAAAATTCTGGATTTGCAAAATATATCTATATAATGGTAACTTCTTACTGTCTTTTTAAATAGTCTCAGATTCGGGTGCCTATAAAATACAATACTTTCATTTTTTCTTTAATTTTCAAGTTGCCGATTATTACAAATGCACTTAATGATAAACTATTTTTGTAACGGCTTGCGTCTATTGAAGAATGAGAAATGAAAGAAAAAACGAATTAAAAAATAAACTTCCAAACACTATCAGCAGTGGTAATAAAAAAACCCGTATTTGAATAAAGAAACCTTGAAGTTACAACTACGTAAAAGTCATCTTGATAATGACTATGAAGACATTCACTGAATCTTGCTATGAAAAAAGGCATCTGTGATAACACTTTCATATTTTCTGTTTAATTTTTTGTTAAATCCCTGTGTGTATAAGAAAATGTAATTCATTTTTGAGCATGTCTTTGTCACATGCTAAGGAAGTATTGCAAGTACATTTAACAAAAATGGATAACTAAAGCATATTGACACAAGGGCAAACTTCACTTTGCAATTCACATATCAGGTTTTTATGCGATTAAAATTGAATAGTATGTGTGCCAATAAAAGTTTTTATAGATAAGAACATGCATGATTATTTCATTTCGCTATAATGACTAATTAAGATGCTTCCCCTGCATTTTTGCGCTATTTTCTCTTCGATTTATCTCCTTTTCCCACTTTTTCCCAATGTCGAAATATTTACATTGTATTTGACAAGGCTTCTTTGTAACGCATTTGACAAAGCTCATCTTTACGATCGTTTATAAGTCATATAATTACTTACGTATATGTAGTTACTTACCATCTTATGCATTAATGTAAGGACTTTAATGCAGGTACAATGCAATATTATTACAACATAATTTTATATTGTTATTAAAAAGAGTTGTTGAAATGTTCTTTCCATGAGAGAGTTTCATACAGATTTAAGCTCTACACTAAATCCTTTCTCCAATTTATATTTACTGTACTTATTGTTTTGTACATATTGAAACAATAAGTAAAGGAAAAAGAAAAGTTCAATAACAAATCGAAATTATAATATAAGTTTATTGTAAAACAGTGATGTTATAATAAACGATTTATAAAATAACATGTAGTAACAAATGACATATGTGTAATGAAACCTTAATATATTTTGTTTATTTCTTGAAAGAAACTTAATCTATAATTAACAACATGCTTGCCGTTTAAAACAGTTCTGCTTGAAATACAGGTTATTTACCTTGTTGTTTTACTTAAAAATTTGTAATTTTTATAATAAATGGAGAATACAATAAATCATTGCGCATGAGTGACAGAAAAACAAACGTAGAAACTATGGCATGTTAAATATGTGACATAACAAAATACTTTTCTAAACAGAGGCTCAGAGCGAAAAGCATAAAGTTATAAATTGTAAAACGTGAAGTCTGTTATTATTTGTATAATTGTATGACACAAATAATCAGTCGATGTTATTAGTTTTCTCTCGTAGGTTTTGTAAGTGTGAGGTAAAGTTTTTATATCATGATATATAAATGTATAAAGGTATAGATAATAACTTCATCCAGGAAATGAAAGCGAGGCGACAAGGTTCCATTTTACGTGTTGAATCCATTATCCATGAAGTACAGCCACATCAAACTGTTCCAGTTCATGGGAAAGAATGGAAACATAGTTTGTTGTCTAACTGGATACATCTGGGCTGAACCTTGGAATCCCTGGCTTTGACCTCCCGCTAAAAAGGAACAAGTAAACATATACTATAACTTATTAACAAAACATGCGCATTCAAATATTTTCACCGTCTTATAGAAACTTCCATCCGTTAAGACAAGCTTAATATTATAGATACCTAAATGAATAATAGTAGAAAATGAGCACATATTACTTTAATTGAGAAATGCATGCTTTGGACAGGATTATATATTGAAAACAAGACATACTGATACTAGCAGATACAAATGTTAAACAGAAGCGTGTTAGATACGTAACAAAAAAGTCAGTGCAAAGCAGACAAACAAGATGAATACTTACATACATTTCTTAAGTACATGCAAACACTCATATGACACAGAACATGCTGCCAAATGTAATACATATAATCCATGCAAAATCGACCGTACAAAATACCGAAAGTTAAGATTTCATAAGAAGGCAATGCATCTTTTATTTATGATTGTTTTGAAATATTTATTTTATACGATGTTGAAAGTCTTTGCAATACTTCCTTTTTCTATTTCCAACCATTTTTTGCGGCAAGAAGAATTTTTTTCTCATAAGTTATGTTAATTTCCATAAGTAAATACAAATGACCTCAAGGTTGCTTGCAATTAAGGTAAACATTAGTGTAATATATAGTAAACAAGCATACAAGTATATCACATTTGTCTCAGATAAAATAGGTTAATAGATTCATTAGCCTCTACTTATCATATGTTTATTTTTGTATCTAAATTAAGTCTTCCAATGTGTTTGATTTATGAACAACATTTGTCGTATGACATGGTCCTTCTTACATACATCATACATTCTAGTTAATTTTTCAGATAAACTTTGTATGTATGTTTATTGTTCATTACTTCCAACAATTAATACTGCTTATTATATTCACAACTATACAATGTCTTATTAATTAAGTCATATGTAGCTAGAATAAACCAGTTTAAACAGGTGTACAAAGTTGAACACGCTCATCACTCATTTCGTATGACAACCATAAATGATAAAACCTTAGGATAAAAAGTCACAAAAATAATTAGCTATTTGAAATGTCAACTGACTATATAAATATTTCCAGTATAGCAGTAAAACATTCATTAAATTAATTTACCCTCACTAAAATGACAATTACTTATTGCGTCGTCTTAGAGGGCAAAAGTTTTCCTAATGCTCGTACAAATTTTTGACAAAAATAAAACCCAGATGGATTATTTATGATATAAGACCCACAAGAGTGACTTTATTATGTAAATTAGACAAAATAAATAGACAACTGAAAGCAGTAGGGCACCGCCTTTGTAACAATGAAAGTATGAAAAATAGATATTTGAAGTCTTATTGTTCTTTTCCATACATTGATTAGCCTTTGCCAACAGTAAAGGTCTTGGCCAGTCTTCTGTACATAGTGTAATCTGACAAGACACCTGACTGTTGGTTAATAACTTCAAATGATCATCTTCATATCCCCAAAATCGATGATTGACAGTTACAAAAGTGAAGCTGGCAAATTTACATCCATTAAAGTAATGCAGCGGTTTAAGGATGAAAGACAAAGCATTAAAGGAAAATGGTAGAGTTAAGCATTTTTCCGAATATATGCAAATTAAGAAAACATAAGATATGCTTTTAGAGTATACCATATCTATGTTATTGGTCTACCCTCTAGCAAACAGAATTCTAAAATGAATATTAAGACTAGCTTTAGAGCCTGTTCACATATTTGTTTTATCTTATAACTGGATTGTTTAAAATAATAGTAATAAATTGTATAAAAATATATATTTATAGTTAAATGCTACATACAGAATTGGAGTAAATTGTAAAAAAGCAACTAAACATAATGTTTTCTTTGCAATTTTCCGCATTGAATAATTGTCATTACTTTTACTAATGTGGTAATTTTTAAACAATCTTCTTTTACTTTTTTAAAATCATCTGTCTCTTGCATTAACACTGTTCATCGTATATTTTAAACAATTACCGATTTTCATCGTAAATTAATGTTTAAGAAAAATATAACTATTCATAAATGTTTATTTCCTTTATTTCTTTATCAATATCCGTTAAAGTTTTGCTTTTTCCGGCTTTGATACAAAACAGGAATACTAAAATAAGTACATCAAAACTTGATAAGAATTTTCAATGGAATATTTAAATCTTGCTAGTATCAAGCAAATGCGATATAATTTAATATATAATTCAATCTTAAGCGTATATTTAGTAAGAAATTAATATTCTTTGTAAAGTTGCATGTCCAAAAGCAATACAATGAAAGTTTGTTTGTTTTATTATTACAATTACTTTTATCATTGTTTTTAGTAATAGGGAGTTGTATTTCTTGTTTGTTTGGTTTTTTGTTTTTGGTTTTTTTTTGTTTTTTTTTCTGTTGTTGTTGATTTTTTGTTTGACAGAGAAAAAGTCACGCAGGAGGTATTACAGATATTAATAAAGTAACATTAATTAATTTTGCAATCCGCCAGTTCGACATAAACAAAAGTTCAAGGTTATACGGGTGTGACATATGACGACGAAATGGACATAAATCTGCAATAATAATAACTATTACCATCATTACTGTGTTACAATAAACAAATTACTACTTTTATCTAACGTGGCTATGTAAAGCTAATTCTCTATGACAATTAATGTAAGTAATAAACATATCAAAATTGTTTACATTCACTACTATGTCATGGAAGATATCATCTGATGTCCATTTTTTATATTTTGCGTTGTTATCGTGGTATGACAAACAAGAAAAGGATGTTGAAAATAAAGATGATATATGATGCATGTACTAACTGAGAATCTGAACTAAAGTTTTTTTATATTTAGGTAAATGAAATGATATAAAAGGAAACACGTTTTATGACAAAGTTGTTTTATAATTACATCTTATTTATGATTGCATTATATTTGATCGATTAATTTGATGTAAATTGATGCAAATGAATTAATAAGCAAAGGTAATTTTCATTGACAAGTGAATTAATCTGCACAATTTTATGATCATATTTATTAAAAATCTATCGTCAGAATTATTTTAAAATGCGTATTATTGATGGAAATAAACGTGAATAGGAGGTCAATCATTCAATTTATCAATTAAATAATTTAGATACGTGCACATATGTATCATTTTTAGGGCTTAGAATACAAGTACATATAGTAAGACGTAGATTAGTTGAATAATGATGGATGAATGAATGAATAAATGAATGCATGAATGAATGAATGAATGAATGAATGAATGGATGAATGAATGAATTAATTAATTAATTAATTAATCAATCAATCAATCAAACAATCAATTAATCAATCAATCAATCAATCAATTAATTTAACATTATATATACAGCAGTATACAAAATACATACGAATGAGAACAAAAAGCAGACGATATATATTAGTTGCAAACAAACATGCAGTGAATAGTGCTATTGATTTTAAAATTGGCCTCATATGTGCGTGCATTATATGCGACAGACAACAGCATCTGCGGGGATATATATTATTTCATATTTTGAAGATAACTGTCCATCCCATAAACATTTAACACATATACAGTTTGCAATAAAATTAAAGGAACTCCATCGAAGTAAAAAGCTTAAGGGCGTAAAAATTTGAATTTCTTACATAATATCATCTTGGGCACTCAAAAAAACATAATAAAGAACAACGTATTTTTGTGCGGTTTTGCACCCGATTTAAATTAAAAGCGTTTTCACTTTTTTCATGTTCACTATTCAAATGATTATTCTGGGGAGAAAAGGACTGACTTCATCACAAAGTAAATTGATTTTGGGAAAACATTTCTAGTCCGGTCATTTAAAAAATCTCCGTGGAGCCCCTTTAAGAATATCATTCTCAGAAAAAATATTTGAATCAACTAAAAAAGCAAAAAACAAAAGAAATGATAAAAAAAATTTATTCGAAAAAAACAACAGATATTTTCCCACTGCTTGCCAGAGTAATTTAAAATCAAGAGTGCACATAATTATTTAACAATACACTGACAATCCCCGATATTGATTGACACGCGCATGAACTTATCGCTTTACCAGGAAATTAAATTAACTGACATTTGCTCCGTACAAAATAATGAAATAAATAATGTTTAAATCATGTCTAAAGATGCGGGAAACTGTAAACAAAGCCTGGGTGTAACCATTTTATGTGGTTGTTTGTACAACAATGATATTAACGGTAAATAAATTTCGTTAAACAAAAACTTTGAACATTATTCACAAAGCTGTATTTGAAGTTAGAGATACATTTTGACACATACCTTGGGCGTTCACAGCCACGGAAACTGCTATGATGAGTAAGCAGGCGAGAATTGTATACTTGTACATCTTGAGGGCTGTAATAAAAACATATTTGTAAACGACTATAAGTAAAACACAAATTGTAAAAATTATCAAATATTCGGGTTTTCAATCATTTTCAAAATTAGACAAACACTCAATGCTACATTGCCGAATGACTTATGAGAAATACATATAGACTCATATAGATTCTGTGACCAAATTATTTCTATTAATGTGCAGTCGGCAAACCTGAGAAATTGGGAATTTATTTATTTATTCTATGGGCCGTTAACAATTTAATTCAGTTCTTAATTCTTTTAGTCATAATATGTTAAATCGTGGGAGCAATCTAAACCATGAATGATAAAATACAGAAAAAAGTAGTTGTTACAAAATCTAGGTTATCAGACCAAAATGCATGTTACAATTGTTGTTGGTCTAAGTGTGGAAGGATAACATTTTTTTAAATGTTTTGATTGTTGATTTCTCCATTAATTTATGTGAACTAAATCGATTTATTGCGTTTAATCCGTTCTAGATAATTCCCTATTAACAAAAGCGTTTTCATTCCATGATTGATTTTTAAAATTTTAAGACATAAAATCAAGTTTTCCACTCATCATTTTTCTTTCTCAATATTTTCCTCAACGCTCATACAGAGTCAATCAAACATCGTACTTAGTCAATCCTGGAACATACGATATAGTACATCCCAGGTCAATCATGGTACGTTTATATATGCTTTAATTATAACTTTAAATTATTCTTGCATGTAAACTTTAACTTTTCTTTTTTTTCAGATTGTTGTTTTTAAATAAAGACTCCTGACTCAAATATTGCAATGAATTATTTGTGTTTTTGTGATGTATATGAAACATTAAAATACGAAATATCGTTTAAACCAAATGTTCAGTTGCATGGAATTTGTATTATTTCGTTACCTGGCAAAAGCTTAGTCTAATTTAAAGATAGTAAAAAATGATAATAATATAATCATACAAAACATTGGATTAATAATAATTTAATGAAACATTGATTTGAAATTTAATAATATTATAGTTGCTCTCAGTTTATATATATCAAAATCGAAGAGAATTTAAACCTAAATACCACTACGAAGAATAAAAATATATTTATGAAAATATATCGGAATAATTACCTTGGCTACAGTGTATCCTAAAATATCAAGGTTTGTGTACTCGTCCGGCAGCAAGTATATATTTGACGATTTGCCCACGCACGTGCATTTTATACCCTGCCCCGGTAAGGCAGGCAGAGCAAAATATACGGTTTATGTGTCAAATGCGTGACTTATTTAGCTTATACTAATAAATAACACATTCCTATTTGTTATGATAATGTCAATGAAAGGTAATTATTATTTCATGACCGAGCTCTTGTTAAGTGATAATATTGCTTGACTATAAATCATTCAAAAGCGAGTTCGATTGTCTCCATCCTCACCCCCAATATTCAAATTTACTACAATTACATACTTGAATTATACTTATCTATACGTAGGTGCTACTTTTATAATGGTTTCCACTTTAGGTGTTTAATGAACAGTACAGAACATATACGTTATTTAGATTTGTACATGGTATATATTCAATAGTACAGTTAAACATTTACAAAAATAATATAAAGGTAGAAGCAATCATGGTATTTTTCACAATCTATTATTTAAATTTATTTAATAGCAAAATTCTAATAAATACATGCATAAAATACAAAGTAAAAAGGAACAGACAATGGATAATAAGCAATTATAGTATCATACGCTCAACAGCGACAACCTCTTCAACAAATGAATGCTTAATTAATACGACAGAGAACTTGCTACTTGACAATCGTTCATTTAGAATTATTATTCAAATGTTTATCTACATGATACGCATACGTTCTGTAATCCTATATATAAAACCGATATATCATTACATGCAAAACGACTTAATAAATTAAATAATGATAATTAAACACTTGTTATTTTTTGAGAAAAAATATCACAAAATAACTCAGATTAATTACTTTCGAATATTGTCTAAATAATGTTGCTGTGGCCCACTGGTTAACGCGACGGATTTATAATTTTAGAAATGCTGGTGTTGGAGGGTTAAAACCGCGTCAAGAGTAAGTCGTTGTTTTAACGAGTAAGAAATTTACACTTATTGCTAAGTACTGGTTGGTTCTAGGAATGGATTCGATAGTGTTTAATAAGCTTCCCCTATAATCAAACTAAAACGAATTCTAAATTTTAAATTGTTGGTTTTAACACAGTCTTACTTTTTTTTTTTCGATATTTCATTTTGCACTTTCAAAAAAATATTAAGGAATGAAGAAAATGGAACCACATAAAGAAATGAATATTTTACTGTATTAGATGGGAACATGCAAACAATTAAATCTTTCTTTGTTTGATAAAATATAAATAATAAATAATAATATCAAATTTCAAAGAGCTTCTGCATGCAAAACTTCAAAAACGAAGCTTCTCCTTCGCAGAATTGAACACCCTCCGTGAAGTAGCCACAAGGTGATCTTACACATTACTGTTAAGGGGATGTATCTAACATATTATTTTAACTAGATTTACATTGTTAATTGCTAGGTAATTAACCGAAATTATGATTTTATAATGGTTAATTATTACAACAATTAGGCTAGACAATTACTGTGATATCAATGTCTAATTGGACATACATAGTTTCTGTTTATAAGAGTATGAGGTGATGCTTTAACAACTGTTGCCCCGGGATTGTGACACCAACGTATTACTTATGTACGTTTATATTCGTAACAAAAAATCAACTATATTTATTATAAACAGTCAAGAAGTATTCAAAATTGAACATAATCGATACCTAAGGTCAAAAATTCGAACGATAAAATATGTTTATTCCAATACAGTTTTATACATTTATGCAATTTCCGGATATGCAGTCAAGAAAGGTGTATACTTCTAAATATAATTATGTGAAGGGAACAAACATATACATTTTCCACTAATAGTTTTATATGCATATATACTCGTATATTAACAAGACTTGTATTAACAGAATTGCCGTTGTAGGTGAATGAAATATTAACGTAATTACTCACGTCAATATTAAATTCATCGTATATTTATTGCGTGGCTGATCAACAACAAGGGATGGTCTGTGACTGAGTATTTAAAGCAGCTGAAATTAAAGCTCTCTCTCTCTCTCCACCATGTCCAGTAATGGACGTGAGATTCTTTAATTTGAACATAATGGAAGCTTTTGAATAAATAGACAGTGGCAAGTTTTATTAGGGTCCCATTTCGACCGACATTGGGTCATGTTCCCAATCCAAAAAGTTTCTTTTTTTTAATGTTATGGAAAAAATTCTCTAAAAAGAAAACAGACAACCACAAAAAAACCTGTTAATAATGATATCGTTATTTTGTTATATCCTAACTGTTTTGTGACACATTATTATTTAACAATCTTAAAATACGCTTATAAGAGAGATATAAAAGGAGATGAACAAGTATTTGATTATTTGCTTTCTTATTTGCATACGGTAAGAATCTCTCAGTTTTGTGTAAAGTTCGCGAAAATTCCAAATTACGGGGCCCGGGTCGTGTTCCCAAAATAGGAAGAAAACTAAATTGTTCTATTCAGGACTCCCATTATGCATTGAACAACGCGCGATTGGTAACCTGAATTCGTACATTACTTTATTGGTCAACTAGATTACAGTGGTCAAAACTTCAAAACATCGTGCATCATAAAGCATATTTTCGTTGGCCTTCATTACAATTATAAAAATAACAGTCATCATAAGAATGAAAATATATATAAACAAACAATTCAAAATAAAAACAAATAAATGTATCTTACATTATTGTGGTAAAGCATAAAAACACATTTTAAAGAATATCGTGCTGTCTATTTTGCAAGGTAAATGTAAAAAACAACATCAACAATAACAACAAAAACACTTTTTGAGTGACAAAGAAATGTTTATGAAACTTTGACAAAATAATTTATATGTTAGACAAAGATTAAACATGCGGGATTCTAGATAGATTTAACCGCCAGTTGTGGTAACATCTTTTTACGCATGTGTCATATAAAAATATCGTATGTCAGTAATTAAAGAATAAAATGACTATAAATGTGACTTCATAAATGTATATTTAACAAGTTAAATAAAAAGATATGAATTTTGAATGTGTAATCATTTGTAAATATCTCATCAACTGATTTGTTCATCACAATCAAGCCGTTTTTGTTAGCGACTATATTTAGAAAAATAATTAAACGAGTATTCATTTTTATCTTATTATAGTGTGGGGGGAGCATCTCTTGGAGTATATGTTTCGCAATCATTGTGATGAAAGCTATTTTGAGCTGTGCAATTCAAACCGTTTGACGAAGTATCACAAAGTCGTTGTTCTGTGGAAGTAAAACACATTGTTGGTTTTTTGTTAGATTTGTTTTGAAGTAGTTTGAAACAAATAAAGTTAAAATAATAGACCCAATTGCTAATGGGTAAGATTGTTTTGCCTCTTTATTGACAACACCAGGTTTGTTCTCGAAATCATGAACATTACCTACTCAGTATTGGCTTTTCAGCGGTTAAATCGATGGAGAAGGTGACAATCTATTTAGGAGCTGATTTAAATCAGATTGTACTTGCACTGTAAAGTAAACAATAAAATATACATTCAACAGTCGTATAATAAATATAATTAATCAAAATTAAATAATTAATACAGATAAATGCTTAAGCATGCAGTGGCATAATTAGGCAGACAAACTGTAGTTCATGTAAAGTTCATGACTTATTATAATGAATTTGATTGAACATTTCCTGTCAAATTTACGATTGTAAAGATACATATGCGTTTATGTAGTAATTTTTCATTTCAAATACAACCTTGTGTCTGTCTTAACAAGGGTTCGCATTTCAATTTTAATTTTTCGCCTGCCTACAGAGTTTCTCATTTGCATTTTGTGAAAGGTCAATTAAATATAACTGGACACATTTATAAATTAGAAATTAAATAGAAGTATGTGTCTTACCTAATGAATAGTTATAGTCAGTATTTACAAAAAGTTTCATAGTTCATATCGATACACCCGTATATTTTTAGATATGGATACTAATTATAGATAAACAAACTCTTGATTTCGTTTTTGTTTTTCGTTTTATCGATATAAACATGTACATCTGCTTGCAATTTGGATTTTAGATTGTAATGATTTTTATTATTTGTAAAATCATTACAATAGTTTATTTAATATACGTTAACTTTTGTATAACTCGATATACACAAACTAGAAGATGATACAATACATTTAAATTGCCGACCAGTTGAACTAATTGAGAGGACAAATTAAACTTTTGATCTAAAACCTTGTCTTTCTATCCTATATGCCTGGGTAAAAGAAAGGAAGAAAGAAAAAATAAAACTAAAACAATAAAAACAATAACCATATCGTTCAACTATGTTTTTGTTACCACTATACTTCAAATAAGAAGTATCTTAAAAAAGAGATACTCGGCCGAAGTAAAACTGGTTAACTTGCATATGTATAAGTCATATAGATTTTAGCGTAAGCTGCATAACAATGACATTTGATTGTTTGTAGGGTTATTAATCTTGAAAAATGGAACACTTTAAGATGTGTGTGTGTGTTTCTAAAAGAACCTGTCGTGTTTTGGTAAGTAAACTCAATTTCTAACACCAACATCTGCGCAGAAGGTTGGCAATTATTTTAAAAAATGCCTGATCAATATACAAAAACAAACAAACAAACAAAAAAAAGACAAACAAAAAAACTGGTATATGAAAATCATAATTGTTATATTCACGGGGGGAATCACGTGACTTTGTATAGTAAAACCCACGAGAAAATGGCGACTGCTGAGCCCCGGTAAGTACATTATTATCTTAAATTTAGGTGCCAAACGTTTCTTAAATCAAAACAAAACCTAGCGTATCACATGCGCCTAAATTTTCTTCAAATGACAATACAAGTGCATTATCCTTTATTTTGTGGTTTTTGAGAACATTGTTTGAATTGTGTGAAAATTGCACATTCCATACGAAGCGGTATAATTTGGTACCAATTATAAATAAAAATCAAAGGGCTGCAACCTCTGTGGTATTTTCTGATCTTTGCAATCTAAATCATACTGACTATCTGTATGTATTTTCCTGTATAAGTTTATTTTTATATACTATAATTAATCTTACGCAGCGACTGCGTCTATAACAGTTTGAGATTGATACATATGGAATTTTGCATGACTAGAGTTGCATCAAAAAATCATTTTT